GTAAATAGTATCAATGTGGTTAGCAATATATATTGCATAAAGAATATTAATATTTTCAATTATTATTGGTATTCTATATTCATTTATTATTATATATCACATGCCCATATATATTCATATGTCTGCAAGAGTATTTCATATTTAATATACTAAAATACTTTGGTTTTAATTCATCAATCTTATTGTGCCCATTTATAACTAAAGAAATGTATTAATAGTTTGAGCAAAGAAAGTATGAATCGATGTCTTTCATAGGCGTTTGTTTATAATGGGTGGAGCCTATAAAATTTGCATGTGGGTTAAGACAACATTCAGAGTAGCCACAAATATTACAACAGCTCATCTCGCTGTCCATAAATCTTATACTTGTTTATATATCTCACAGAGCTCAATAGCCTTATAAGAAACTATACAATATCATAGATTTTGCATTTGTCTGCGATTAGAGTATTCGTAAGTCGTGCAATTTCTTCACTAACACTAAACATTCAGACATTCGCTGCATTTTAAATGGATTGGATTTTCAGCAGTTGCAGTTGCAGTTGGAGCCGCAGTCGCAGTCGCAGTCGCAGTCGTCGCTGCTGTTATCGGCTATCATGAATTTTACTTTGCAATGGTATGCATCAGCGCACTAAACCGACATTTTTACACCTAAGTAGTGGAGGCAAACGTGTAATGGAGTCGCCGTTAAAGAACGGCTGGTTATGCGCGTCTGCTTTTTACGGCTGATTAGGTCAGAGCCTCAGCTCTACGAATATTGATATGGAAAATGGTTGAGCGACTGCTTGCCCTGTGCTTGACTCAATCTAAGTTTAACTTTAGCCTCATATTCGGTTCGCCTTCAACTCCATTGTAAATGACTCTACTTCTCCAACTTCTGCTCCTCTATTAAATTGTTTTATTTACTACATTTGCCTGCCATAATTAAGTACTGAAATATTTATAAGAAATCTGAAAAGCTATTTAAGTACCATGATGTGCAACAAGCCAGTAAAAGCAGCAGCAGCGCCAGCAGCAGCTTGTAAAAGTTTTAAAGAAGTATTTGGATAACGATGGACTTCCTCCATTAATACTTGTTTTTTTTTTCCTTAATTCACTTTACACAGACCTTGAAACCGAGTTTGATTGTGCACTAAAACATCCACTTCCTTTCTTTCTATTTTTATAGGTCCAACGGCCGTTCAAATGGTCTCCCACAACCGGCAGCCGCCGACGATGACGATGCCAGTGCAGGTGCCACCATATGTGAATGAGAACGGAACTCTGACCCATGTGGTGCTACCGCCGCAGCAATACCAGCAACTGCATACCGGTCAGGGACATCTGCATGCAGGACCATTTGTGAGTACAATTTTATAGTAGATTCACGATTTACCTAGTAAGTATAACTTAGAGGCAGGCAAGAAAGATTCTAATTAAATCATAAACTACTAAAGATATATAAATAATATATAATCATTCATTTGGCTGAATTTTTTGAGACTGAAATACTAAATAGTAGTTGCGTATTCCTTATTAAATTGAAATAGAATATATATACAGTCGAGTCCCAATAATTCGAAACGATAAGATTTTTTTTTTGAAACACAGAAATTCCAATTATCAAGAAATATCGAGAAAGCAATTTTTTTTCCCGGTCTAGATTTTTATTTTTATTTTTGCGATTTTTGATTTCATTAGAACTGCTGGTCATCCACAAAGCTGTCATTCTAGAGTTTCCAAGTTTGCTCTATACTTGGAAAAATTCTTTATTTATAAAACACTTTCGTAACTTAGTAAGTATGCTATGAGTAACTCATATAAGCCATTTGGGTACTAAGTTTCCAACTATGAAATATTTTTATGTGGTCTATTATAAGCCAAACTTGCCCTGCCTTTTCTTGCCTACTTTCACCTTTACTTCCATTCAGCATTCTAGCTCTTATCTATTAGTCTGTATGTTCTTTCCAGTCAGTGTTCAGCTGGTCAATCAATTAGAAAATTTGCCAGTGTAAAGTTCTCATTATCAAGTATAGAATATTGATTACTAATTGAGCGTCAATCATCGACAGCAATTATAGTAGAAAGCTCAAACAATAACAATTGGCAATGCAAATTTCATATTTTAGCGAAATGTGGCCGGCCAAAGGTTCGACAGAAATATACCTTGTACCTAGTTTCTCTTGCTTTCTAGTCTTTATACTAAAGAAATTCTAGATATATTAATTCTGTTATATTAATACATTTCTGACTAAATGCATATATATATTTGAGATCATTAGACCTAACTCAATTAGTACTTACATATATGAATCTTAGAGTCTCACACGAATATGGTGTGCGATAGCATGTACGTACGTAATGGATTTTTTTTTTTTGTATTTTACACACCCGATTCAGTTGATGTTTTCCTGGAACTCGACTGCGGGCTTAACCCAGACATTTGCTGTCTCGTGTTGTCAATGCATTAATCGCCACAGCAGCACCAGCAGCAGCTTTGATTATTAGAACAATGGAGAATCGCGAGTGCAAACTTGGCGATAAGCGATCAAGTAGGCAGTCAAAACGGAACTAAGTTAAGACATTAATAAAAAATAATCACTTTGTATGATTATTTGAACTATTAGAATAATATATTAAATGAATTGTATTTAAATCATTTGTACTCTCTGCAATCATTCACAAATACGAATGATAATAGCTAATTATACTTATAGGAAATTGTATTCTGATTAGCATTGATTTATGAAGATGCGCCTTCTTAATAGTTAAATAGTTTATTTGCCTAACAATCAAACAGGGCTGTCGTGATTGCAATTATTTTTGCCTTTCGCTTAAATGCACAATAATTTATTTGTTATTATTAATAAGAAATTTATAATACGCTTTTAAATTAAATTGAAATATGGGCTTAAAGCCGTGATTTTATAATTAGTAGCTGAACGCTTGCAAAGAAAAATCGACTCAGTTAACCGCATATATAAATCTATATATGCATATGTATAGAAAATATAATACAACATTTATTTCTCCTATGAGAAGTGCTTAGAGCAAATACTTAGAAGAAATACTAAAAAAATACTTACAGAAAGTACTTAGAGGAAAACTTTGGAAAAACACTTCAAATGGATTATAAGGGAAATCGAAATTCTATAAAATATATATGAAACTATATTTAAAATTTGCAAATACACTTACATAGATATAAACACACATATATAGGTTATGTAGGTAATTGCCGTCAACACTCGTCGCCCAATGCCATTTTAAGAAACTCAAACTTAAATATTGCAGCGCCAACAACTTCCGGAGTCATATGTAGAGCAGCAGAAACGGCGTCACGCTCAGTTGCTGAAATAAAAGTGACGGCGCTTTCAAATACTCTTCTCTTTTTGCGGCTATCTGCAAATATGGGAAATGATTTGTGAAATTTTCATATTAGTGAGACCTGCTATATTACAAATGTAGATAATTTATTGAAGTAATATTTCATTTTAAATTAAGTATTAAAATTTTATTTGTTTATTTAGGCTATTAGGTTTTTGCTGATTTTTGATCCAGTACATTCTTCTTATATTTTTCATATATTAGCTAGAGTATCAAGCCATCGGTGTTGTACAGATTATGTCACATAGCATATTTAACCTTCGAGTTCGTGTAGACAAAGTTTTTTCTTTGTTTTTCTTCTTTTCGGAATTGTCTACCGAATTTTCAGCAACAAATTTACCAAGGCGAAAGCCAGCTTCCGTTGTATTTGTGCAATCTCATTATCACTTGATTGTATGCTAATTCAAAGGGGTTTTTTATGTCTTTTGAAGAGTATATATGTCTATATATTTTGCAATAAAATATATAATAAAAATTTTCCTCATTATTTGTGTCCATGCAGTGGCTCCGAAATAAATTTCGCAAAGGTTGTCAACTCAAATAATACAATCTTACTAGATATTTATGTTCATTGAAATTTTGTGACTATTTAAATACAGGGTATCCCCAAGTCAATAAAATTATGTGTTAACTTGTTTAATGACTGTACCCAAATATTTCCAGCAGTTTATAAATTGCATTGGTATGAATAACAGGGTTATGCAATATACGTTTATGTTATGATTTCGTCATACTTGGCTAAATGTAGTTTTGTCTAATAATTGAGCAATTTGTCACAATGATTTAAATTTACTCTTTGTGCTTCAAATGCGCAGTTCAGTTGACTGTTACTTGTTTGCAGAATAGCGTTGCCAGATAGGTTATTTTTTAAGGGTAGATATACCGGCAGTTGCTCTTGTTGTATGAACTGTCATTCTGCTATAAACACTGATTGCAGACTCACTTGAGTACAACAGCATGTTAGCAGTGTTCTAACAAAATTAACAGAATCGTGTTAAGTAGATACGGTTTATCATTTAATTTAATGAAGAAGCAAGTAAAATTCAACAAATAATGAAATGATAATAATAATTTAAGTTGTAACTTTTAAAAGCCAATTAAAAATGATTTAAATACAAAAATTCACGGACGGCAACGACGAGATTCCGGGTTTTGTGTAGTTTTGCGATTGTTTATCAGTAAAAACAAAAAAAAAGTTCGCGTTGGTTTATTTATAGTTGTACTTTTCGTTGACGTGGATACTTTTCACAGTGTCAGCTAGCAATGAAGCCGCAAAAGATTAAATCAACAACGACCACGTCGACAACAACAGAATCTGTATTTATTTTACAGCAAATTTGACTATTCGCAGTTTCATTAAAGCATTTTGCAACACGTTTTCAGATAAGCAGCAATGGTACATCGCATTTCTATACGCCGCTGCCCGGCTATCCGCCCGGGCCAGGACCAACGGGCAACGGGCCACCGCATTATCATATGCCGCCGCCGCCGCCCCCGCAGCACCAGCAGCAGACGGGTGCCCAACAGGCAGGCACGGCGACAGCTGGCGGTGCGCCGCCAACGTCACAGACGCACTTACATTCCCCGCACTCGCCATCGCCGCCCAACTACAGAGATGAGCGCAGCCAGCGACAGCACACGAAGCTGCTGCGTAAGCTGGAGAAGCAGCGTGAGCTGAGTGAGTATTAATTATTGATTGCAAATATATGTATGTATATTCAATTAATGGGATTCCCTTACTCTGCTGCTCTGTAGACTCCAGCATGTCCACGCCCACGCATTCGCCCTCTCCGCGTCGCAATGACATCAATGGGCATTACAACAACAACAGCGGCAACAACAACAACAACAGCAACAACAACATTCCAGTAGCACAGCAGCACCAGCACAACAACCACATGCATAGCCATGTGCGTGGACGCCACTTGGCGCATCAGCAGCCGCAACCGGCGCTGCAGCAGCAGCGAAACGTCGTCATCGCTAGCACCGCAACTGGACAGCAGTTGGCCGCGCCCACGCGCAGCAGTGTGGGCGGTGCGAGCTCAGTGGGCACGTCGGAGGACGGCGAGGATACGTCCAGTGTGGCCGCCGAGGATGAGGAGGACTACCAGGCCCAAATTGTCGAACAGATCTCGGCCATTGACAGGCCAGAGGTGATCGATGTGAGTTCGCGTGCTGCGAAGATCATTTGGGTGCCGCCAACCATAACGGATGTGCTGCTGGTGAACGTGCAGGATCTGCGCTACCAAGTGCTGCTCAGCGACACGGGCAAACAGTGCAAATACAAGAGCCTGTACCGGGGCGAGGCGTACGAGTGCATTGTGCAGGATCTGCAGCCGGGACAGGAGTACTTGGTGCGGCTGCAGGTGCACTATCAGCAGCTGCAGGGCAGCGTTAGCGAACCCACCGAGTTCAAAACGCCAGCCTGTGAGCCCGACCAGCCGCTGCCCCCCAAACTGGTGTCGCGCACCAGGAGCTCGATAAATCTGCGCTGGACGGCGCCAGCTGCCAACGGTGCGCCCATTCAATATTATCTGCTCGACTATGACGAGGGGCGTGGCAATGCGCTGCAGTTCACGGAGCTGGCCAAAACCAAGGCGAAGCACTATCTACTCAACAAGCTGCAGTCGACCACAGTCTACAGCTTTCGCCTGGCTGCCGTCAACGAGATCGGCCAGTCGGCCTATTCGCAGGTGAGCAGCTACAGCACAGCCGGCAATCCGCCCACAGCGCCGATGCCGCCGCAGCTGCAGGCCTGCACCGCCAGCTCGCTGCAGCTCGTCTGGGAGCGGCGATCACAGGACGGCGACTTTCTGCTGCAGCTGCAGGATGCTGAGTCCGGACACGGTTACCTGAACAGCTACAAGGGTGGCGAGACCCGTTACGAGTGCCTGCAACTGCGACGAGCCACCAACTATCAGTTCCGTTTGCGCACGGAGAATGATGCTGGTGTGTCGCCTTGGTCCAAGGAGGTTACCTACTGCACGGCAGCGGAGCGGCCCGGCCGGCCGGGMAAACCGCATGCCAAGGGCAAGATACACGGCACGCATTTCAAGGCGCGCTGGGAGCCGCCGTCGGACACCGGTGGCTCGGATATCTTGCGCTACCACCTGGAGCTCAGCGCGGGACCCAGCTTCGAGCGCATTTACACTGGCAGCGAAACGGAGGCGATGTGTGAGCGGCTGCAGCCGGGCACCACCTATCAGCTGCGTGTCTGCTGCGAGGGGCCTGCCGGGCAGAGTCCGTTCTCGGAGATCGGACATGTGACCACAGAGGCAGTGCCACCAGCCGCACCACCCCAGCCCCATTGCGATGCACCACCAACGCCTTACGCAGCACTGTTGCGGCTCACCCAGCCGGAGAACAATGGCGGTGCGCCGGTTCTGGAATTTGAGGCGCAGCTGCGTTGCCTCGATGCATCGGAGCCCTCGCAGCCACAAATCGTGTATCGCGGCAAACAAGACTACTTTGTGGCCCAGCAGCTGGCACCGGGTGGTGTCTATGAGGCACAGGTGCGTGCCATCAATCGAATTGGCGCCGGTAGCTGGTCGCCGTGGCTGCGTTTCGAAGCGGCCGCCGCACCGCCCAGTGCGCCCACTGACCTGGAAGTTGTGGTCAAGTCGGCGACCCATCTGACCGTCACTTGGAAGCCGCCGGCGCAGCTGAACGGTGCAGCTGTCAGTGGCTACAGCCTGCAGAGCGCCAGCCAGCAGCTGGATGAGCCCCAGGCTGAGCCGCCCAGCGCACAGTTCCATGGCTGCTACCAGGGACCCCAGACTCTAGTGGAGCTGCGCAATCTGACGCCCTATACACGGTATTACCTACGCGTGCTGGCCAGCAATGCGGCTGGTGCTGGACCCGTAACGGATGCTGTGTGCGTATCGACGCCCGCTGCTGTGCCCGGCGCTCCGCAGATGTTGGGCTACGAGTTCACCTCACAGGAAGTCACCTTGAACTGGACAACGCCGGCGTCCCATGGCGCCGACATCAGCAACTACAACATTGAATACGGCGAACGGACAATCGCCACACCGGACGCCTGTACGCGCTACACAGTCACTGGCCTGACGCCCGAGACAAGCTACAAATTCCGGGTGCAGGCGGTAAATGCGATAGGCAGCGGACTCTTCAGTACCTACGTGAAGCTAACGACACAGCCGGCACCGCCAGCGCCACCGCGGCTCGAGTGCAGCGGCTCTGGGCACAACTACTTGAAACTCAAATGGGGCGACAGCGGCAAGACGGGCTCCGTGTCCACGCTCTCGTCCGGCGCACTCAGCGGCAGCAGTGCGGACTTTACCAAGTACTATGTGGAAATGTATGTGGCCAGGGCGAAGCAATTCCAAACTGTCTACTCGGGCACGAATTGCATGTGCAAGATACACAAGCTGCAGGAGCGCAGCAGCTACACATTCCGCATCTATGCGCATACGGATCGGGCCGGCGACGGTGAGTACTCCGAGGAGTATGTATTCGAGACGGGCGCCACGCTGCCGGCCAACATCAAGCCGCCGCGAGTGCTGCACGAGGGCGTCTGCCTGCTGGACCAGGCCAGCCAACCGCTGGTGCAGCTCACTCTCGAGTGGCAGCACTCGAAGAACAGCTTCAACGATCGTGTCGAGTATGAGCTGCAGTACGCCATCGTCGCCTCCGATGCGGACAGCTCCAGCTCACCCAAGGCGCGCAGTGCCAGTGGCAACAGCAGCAGCAACAGCAACCACACCAATACCAGTGCAGCACCCGTGGCGCTAAGCAACCTGGATTACCGACAGCTGTACCGTGGACCAGAGACCAAGTTTACCATAGACAATCTTGTGCCGGGCACCTGCTACCAGTTTCGGGTGTGTCCGGTGCGCGTCACCAGCAGCGGCGAGCTGTTCCCGGGACAGACGTCAGCGGCGCTGCGTTATCAAGTGCCCAAGGAGCTGGACGCCAGCACGGCACCCTGCCACCATCTGCATGGATCGGCAATGGTGCCCAGCCAGACGACGCAGCGGGCTAGCCGCAAGCAATCGGATACGAACAGCGTGCACATGCGTTCGGTAAGTGCCTCGGCGATTAGCGGCAATAGTGGAGTTGGAGCTGATGTCCAGGCGATTGGGCGATTGCAGCATGAGCTGGCAGCAGCTAACTTCAATGCTTGCGGCGATCCGCTGCATCATCATCACCATCATCATCATCACCATCATCAGCCGCATCAGGCGTGCCCCGGGGAGCCAGCGGGCTCGTCTGGTCTGGCTGGTACATCGGCGTCTACGTTGCAGCTGCGGGGCAACAGCAGCGGTGCCCATCACTTGCACCATCAGCATCATCTGCACCACTCACACCACATGCATCATGCGCACTTGCCGCACGCCACCGCTGCCGTCATGGGCTCCGCAACTAGCAGCAACGGCAACAGCAGCGGCAGCGGCAGCAGCAGCAACTTCATCTTGCCCCACGGCGGCATGATCAGACGCTTCGTCTCCAGGCTGATGGCGCTCTACTACAATAGGAAGCGGCTGACGGACCAACAGAAGGCCGTCTTCTTTGTGGTTTCATTTGTATTCGTGACTTTCCTAGTGGCGATGCTGGTGCACATGCTCTGTGGCTGATTTGGCGATCGATCGTCACACAACAAATCACGTGTCTCAAAAAAGTGATTGCAAATCACTCGCATTTGTTTTTCTTATTATTATCATTATCATTATTATTATTATCATTTTTATATGTGTTTATGTATGTGTATATATATATATATAAATATGAAATCGATTGTACATCTCCTAAATCTCTCTATATACATATGTAAGAAGGCAACAGTAATCCCACACACTTCACAAACAATTCCTTAAACAACACCAACAATATTATATACAGTATATCTATACAATGAACATTCTTAAGAACTCTTTATTTACAATTTCACATAAATTATTATGTGGCTAACTACATGTTTAATCGATTACACACACACTCACACACACACAAGCATATGTATACTACACACAAAAATCTCCATATGTGCTATAGCATTTTGTGCAACAACCAACTCTCAATGTACATACAACTAAACAAACAAACAAACAAAAACAAAAACAACTAAGCTTAACCTAGAAATTCTTACAACCTTTACAAGAGCCTCTTTTACTGTTTACCGCATTGTTGTTGAACATGGATGTATGTGTATGTTAATGCACTATAAATATTTGAAACGAAAGTTATAAACAATGAATACCGAAAATTATGAATTTATTAGACTATGCTCTATCATGGTATATGAAACTGATAACAACCACTACTATATCTGTCTGTTTGCAAATGTATATGTAACTATATATATATATATATATATCTTTGAACTAATGAAACTATGCAA